TGACTCACTTAACTGCCTTGCTTAGCAATGGAGATTCTAGTTCCAATTGTGGTTGTAAATTAAGGACTATCTATAGCAGAGATCTCCAAACTTGGCAACTTTAAGACTTATGGACTTCAACTCCCAGAATTCTCCCTGATCTATAGTCATTGTGCTTTTGCTAGCTGTTGACTTAATTTAATCTGGAAGACCACACTGATTTTTTATAGTTTCCATTAATGTGTCAGAGATGTTTTCCACTTTGGTTTCATCTTTGGAAAGATCCATAAACTTGGTCTCTTGATAGCTAATAGTTAGCTTATCCTCATCACAATAGGTTCTCTTGAGTCCAATCTACTTTTTTAAAAAAATATCTCCATCATTTATCTATTACTCCAGGGGCAGAAGTGTGAAACTCCTTTCTGGTTGGAGTTAGAATAAAAGAAGTCAAGACCATTTTGAAGAAAAGATAACCCTAGATGTTGTTCTGTTTTGCTCCTTTGTTTATCAGTTATTTTGATAGAGATAGGTGATATTTGCTGAACCTAATTTGAACAAAGTTTTCTTATGGCATCTTTATTAAGAGTTATTTAATTTGCATTTATTTACAATATAAAAGTATCAAATGTGTTGCAATCCAAACTGATAAGAAGAACACGGACAAAATGGCCATAGAATTAGTAGAAAGAAATCAGGTAGATAGGATAGTAATAATAATTTAATTAAGAATAATAGACTCAAGTATTTGAAATAATTTTCTCCAAACCCTATCTATGCTAATTTCAAAACAACCAACACAGCAGAGTATCAAGGAGGTGAGTAGAATATTTTTCTGCTCACAAGTACATACTGCACTCTCGAAACTAGCTCAATGAAAATAAGATTTAGGAAAGGTTATTTTGTCTTAAAGAATTTTAATAGCTTTATGAAAATCAGCAATTGACATCTGATCTGATGTTCTTTAGTGGTGTCCAAAACATTTCAAACCATTTGAATGAATTTCCTGTCTGAAGTTGTTTTGAGCATCAGATATTCTATCTTGCAATCAAAACATTTCTAAAATAATTAAAACATCCCCTCTTCTAACTCAGCTATTTCACACTTGAAACAACTGTTTCTAACTTTAAATGAAATGTTTTGAATGCAAACTGGTTCAAATTCGAAACATATGATTATATATCTCCTTGTCTCTTTGATAATGTCCATCATAATATTTTCAACATTTATCAAAACTGTTATTTTAATGGATGAAATTTAGTGGATTTTCTCAGGTGCTGTCCAGATAAATAATGAGAGTTTTTCCCCCAATAATTAAATGCACCTGTTCCTGTTCAGTGTTTTTTTGACCCTGGGTTTAGCATTGGCTAGCTTTACTAAAAGTAATGAAAAAGCAATGGTTTATTTGTTATAGCCAACTCTTCAGCTTTTAATCTTGATCCTGTTCCATTTCTTTGGATTTTCCCTGCTTGTAGTAGAATTTGCAAACAAAATCTTTGTTTCTATGATAGGATTTGTAAAAAAAGAAATCAGACAGCATCAACTTGAGTTTTATTTTAATATTCATTAAGTAAAAGAGAATGAGGGATTTGACCCTTGAAAAACAAAAGTGGCTTTTTATTTAGAAGAAATCATTTATTGCATATTGAGGACTCCAGATCTGAAAGTAGGATCAGTTTTTTGTTGTTAAAGCTTTAAAAATGGCACTGTATTCATTTTCATCTACAAATGTTTGCAATTTTAAACTGCAATATACCTGGTGGCCAGAGCGGTGATCATTTGCCTCATCTTCCAAAAAAGGGGGAAAAAATCCCCTGTAGTTTTTGTACAAGTTTGTGGCATTGTTACTGAATAAATTTAAATAATTAAGCTATTAAGAGCTGTTAAACATGGATGTCATTAGTCATACATATTGGCATCTCCACCTGGCACATTTGAACAAATGCCATGTTTCCTGCTGTCATCTTTTCTGCTCCCTCCTTTTGTCAATCTGACTGCTGAGCAGTTGCAAACTCCTATATCTAGCAGGGTTTTCCCCCTTCATTTGGCACCCTGGGAGTGCCCCTTAATTTTCTTCTATCACTGGGTTCATATATGGTAGCCATAGCAAGAAGCACATTAGCAAAAATATAGCTAGCATAGCTACTACAACAGCTCCTCCACCAGTTTCATTTGGTAACTGTTCCCAATGCCTTGCTAAACTAAGAATGTCCAGAATCTTCTGTCTCTGATTGAACAGGTTTTTGAAAGTAAGATGTCCAGAATCAGAATTGGTTTATGGTATTCTTGGCACATCTCCCAAATAAAAAAAATGAATAAAAAAATAGGGAAAAATTCATGTAGCAATAGCACTTAGACTTATATATGTAGAATATATATATGTAGAAAGAATTCAAAAGAAGAAACAAACATTTATTTTAAGATTACTTGCTTTCCTGGACAGCTTTAACCATGCTTTTTCAGGTGCTGATCCTAACCCTGTGGTCACTAGGACATAATCTATAGATTTAAAGAGTTGCATTAGGCTCCACTTGAGAACCAGTTTTCTGTAGTGGTTAAAGCATCAGGCTAGAAAGTTAGTGTATTTGAGTTCATGTCCTGCTTTGGGATAAAAAAGCCAGCTAGCCAAGCTAAGTGATCTTGGACCAGCCCCTCTCTTTCAGCCCTAGGAAGGAGGCAATAACAAACCACTTCCAAAAGATATTGCTCAAAAAACTGCAGAGATTTGTCCAGTCTCAAAAATTGAATATGTTTGAACGGAAGAAAAAAAAGGCTCCACTCAATCTTATCTTTGACCTAAGAGGCTGACCATCAATGATTCAGGGACATCACTCTCATAAAATAATTTTATTACAGATAGTAGAAAAATCCCTTAATAATGAAGCAGCTCAGCCATTGGAAACTATAGGATTCCAGTTCTGTATAAAGCATTTCCCAAGTTTAAACCCTGTATCTATTTCTCCAAACATCAGGGCTGACTCAGTGGAGAAATAGTTGCTTTGTTACGGAACTCTTAAATACTTTGTTATGGAACTCTGGTGGAATGTAGGCCAGACTTGCAGGAGGAAGAGAGTAGAGACAAGCTTGGAATCTCTGATATGCAGAAAAGGGGCAAAGGTGGAACGCCACCACCACCATCAGTTTGCAGGGTATATATAATAGTTATGCAGATAAGCACTAGGGGTGACATGATAGCAGTCTTCCAATATTTCATAGATGTCAGAAAGAAGAGGGTTCATCTTGGTTGAATTGCTCCACAGCAGTTTGCACTACTCAGGTGACCCTGTTGACACAAATAAACCTCCAGGTGACCTTAGCCTGCTAAAAGAATGCAAATGACCAGCTGTCTGCAAGGAATATGAATCCTTCCATTCCCCAGCATCCAGTCAGAGCTAAAGAAGGCTCTTGGATGAGAAGTGAAATGTCTTCAAAGAAAAGAAAAAAAAAAACCCAGGAAGTCCAGTTGTCTCTTGAAAAAAGGTTTGGATTTTATGATTTTATGAAAATTATAGTTGATCACAAACTGCATATGGGTCAACAATATGGTAGTTACGTCCCACCTCCCGCCCACCTCCCCAAAATAAATGCAATTCAGAAGGCAGAGTCAACAGAAATAATTTCCAAATCATATTTTCCTTGGTCAGAGAAGTCCCATGCCCTGACTTTTTTTTTTTTTTCGTGACTCCAGAAAATGGGACACAAAAATAATATTGAATAATAAAAATTCCAGTTTACTGTTAGCAAAACTAATATTGAATGGTGGAATTAATTACCCAGTGAAATAGTGACTTCTTCTTCACTGGGTATGTTCATGCAGAGCAGGACAATCTTCTTTTAGGGATCTTTTTAAATTGAATCCCTAAAATGAATAGGAGGTTCCATAAATTGATTCAGAGTTTGATTCCTTTCCAACTCTGAATCAATTCCATTTTTACAGGTTCTCTCAATAGCATAGCAAGGAAACGGATGGGTCTCTGACACAGAGATCCTTTGTTTTGTTGCTTAGGGCTGGAGTGGTAGGAAGGACTGGTTGCTTCATTAATGTGTTCAGCTCAGGGAGCAAAAATATCTCAGGATTGGTTGGTTTGGAGTTCACTGGATCAGGAGCAGATCAACAACCTGTAGTTCTGTTGCTCTACTTTTTCTTTGCTCAGCAGCCTTGGAAAGGAATTTTGTCCATCAAAATCAAGCCATAATAATGTGATTTTCTGCATCACTCACTTGTTATTGAACAAGAAGGTAAACATCTGTTTTCACATGCAGAGTAGTATAAACTCCATTTCAGCTTACATGAGAACCAGGGGTGGGATCCGACCAGTGTAACTACTAGTACGGTGATTTTGCGATTTGCGATTTGCGCTCACATGCATGCATGCTTCACACTTCATGTGCCAGACATGCACTACACGCGTGTGTGGAACATCGTCAGCTATGCTGCCCGAACAGCTGAGCAGTGCTGCGCGTGGGTGTGCAGAATTTGAAAAGGCACTATTTTCCTGCTTTTTCAACTGCAGTTGTGCCATGCAAAGCAGCTGAGGTTGAAAAAGCAGGAAATAAAGGTCAGGTAAGAGCATGGATAGGCGTGCGGGCCAAAATAGCAGCAGACATAGAACCGGTTCTATGTCTGCTGCTCTTCAGAGCTACCAGTTCTACAGAGTGGACAGAACCGGTAGAATCCCACCCCTGATGAGAATTGTAAATCCTACTCACTAAAACAACCAAGTTTTGAAGTGAGAACAAGCCCTATGTTGAGATAATCATTTATTTCACACAAAGGAAAACCAATGTATTGATTGTGTATCCATTTCTTATTCTACCCTTTGTGGATTATCAGATAATTTGGTAACTTTGACTAATCAGATTTTATCCCCTTTCACTCTGTTCCTGTAGTTCTTCCAAGCCACACATGTGGAAATCCAGGAAGACTTCAGAATGGAATCCAGCAAGGCACCACATTCAGCGTGGGAGACAAAGTGCGTTACAGCTGCAATCCTGGTTTCTTCTTGGAGGGGCACGCATTGCTCACTTGCCACGAGACCATGGAGAATACTGCATCCTGGGATTTCCCTCTGCCCTTCTGTCGTGGTACATATTCTTTATTGTCTTTTATCTTGGGTTTTCTTAATATGTGGCATAGGTGTTGAGGGCTGGAAATGACTTCGCAAGAATTATCTAGATTAAAGTCAAATCCTATTGCAAAGTGTTTGGAGTTCTGTAACAGTCTAAATTCTGTGCGAAAGGAAAGCTGAATTATGTATTTGCATATATTATCCAACATAGCAGACTTGCATATTTTATTAAGCATAATTCATCCACTTTATGCTAATACGCACGTATTGTGGGAGTCAGGTTGTGCTTTGAACCTCTGGAGACACAATTCCTCTATCCTATTCACTTTTGTAATTTCAGCAAGCATGTAGTTTTAAATATATATTGGCAGCCATAAGAGCTAAGAACATGTTTTTTTTTTTAAAAAAAAATCAGAGTTAAGGTTATTAGGAAACTGAATAATATATAATTTTTCCCTTGAACCCACACAGAATTGTGGCATATGTATTATCTAACCTAGCATAATATAGGTAGGCTTGAAAACAGTTTTGTTCAGTCTGGTTCCACTTTGGTTATGTGTATATAGCAATGCCACTTGATTCCCTGTCATTCTAATCATTCTAAATGGGATTAACCAGTCAGTTAATACACAGAAGCTTTTACATTACTTTATCATGATACCCGTTCTTCCTGTTCTCTCATCTTTTTCCTTCCCTCATATATCCCCAGTGTCCTTCAGCACAATATCTTGTATTGATGTTTTTTTTTAAAAATTGAGCCTTTGAGCATGTAATCAATTAGCAATCCTGGGATGCAGCATTGATCTTGCATTTAAATTGAGTTAAGATGGTTTGCAAATTGATAGATAATTCTTGGTGCTTTCCTAAATAAACAACATATCGTGTGTGTGTGTGTGTGTGTGTGTGTGTGTGTGTGTGTGTGTGTGTGCCTGTGCCTGTGCACACATACACATGCAGGCCTTCAAGTCAGTTTTGACTCCTAGGGGCTGCTAGGACCAGCCCCTGAAATTTTCTTGGCAAGATTTCCATTGTGGTTTGCCCTTGCCTTCTTCCTAGAGCCAAGAGGAAGTGGCTCAAGGTCATCAGGCTGGCTTTGTCCCGAAGGCATTCACGGTCTTCCGATTCCTAGCCTTATGAATTACATATTTATCCTGCATTTATCTGTTGATTCTTTTATGGTCCTGGGAGTTTGACAACATTGATATTGTACCAGTGAAGGACCCTCCATCTCTCAATTTTTCATCCTTTAAATTAGCATCATTGCTCTTGACTTTGTGCTGAGTTAGTGGTTCCACTGAAGAACTCTTTTGTTTTAACTTGGCTGTATAAAATAATCGTGATGTTAGATCATGCTTAGTTATATTTTGTACAGGACTGGGGAGTGGGGAGTTGCACTTATGCAACCTAGGTGCATTTGGGACTGAGCCAAACTACCTTGCTAGTTTTTGTTAATGCTCTCAGAGGCCTAGAGGCAATGAACAGAATCCACTCTCTCCAAAAAATATACTTAGCTGGGCAGCTTTGTCCTTGATATATGTGCCTTTTGTTTTTAACGTTCAAATATTTGGAATGACTTTAAAGATACCATGTTAATTACTTTTGTTAATTACTTTTAAAATATTTCACTATATATATATTCTAGAGAGTTTTTTATTATGTCCTTTTAAACTTCAACCTCAGGTACTTATGTGAGTAGAAGAGTAGAGTATAAATCAAATAAATGAAGATACTGAATTATAAACCATGTTTCTAAGTTCTAAGCTGCAAATAATCAAATCACATTTATCTTATCTGATATGTGTGTGTGTGTGTGTGTGTGTGTGTGTGTATATATACCTTTGAATCAGTGTTAACTGCTGGTGACTTCTGAAAAGTCTCTGCAGTTTTTTTGGCAAGATTTTCAAAAGCAAGAGCTAAGTCAGTGCCACAAGAAAAATAAGTAATAAAGATTAGACCACTTCAAAAGAAAATGAGTAAAAAATGTAAAATGTAAGAAAGGTTTGGGCCCACATGGTAATAATTTTGTTCCAAAAATGTTAACAGAATTAATTTTCTTTGCCCATGATGACCTCTTTAAGGTAAAAGTGACATATTGGATTCCTGATACTAATTCAGAATCTTTTACTGTTATGTCCTTGGAACTGACCAAAGTTCCCAATCAAGTCCGTCTATACTGCGGGGGCGTTTACAGCTCCCATTGGCTGGCTCCCTTCGACAGTCGGCTATAAAAGCCGGCTGCTAGGTCGAGCCAGTCGCTGTTCGCTGGAGCATGTCTGCTTGTTAGTATGCAGACGCGACAGCCCTTTATTCTGTTGAATAAAGCCTTTACTTGTGAATGCTCTGGTTTGGTCTCTCATTCCTCAATACATAATACTGGCGACGAAGGTGGGATCTGACTAACCAGAAGCATTCCATTGAGCTGAAATCACGATAGCAACTGAACCGCAGCCGCGAAGCAGAGAGCTCGGTCAGTTCGCTAGTTAGCTGAGTGAAAGTGAAGTGTCTGTAGCCGCTCGCACTGAAAGCTACAGAGAGAGAGAGAGAGAGTGAAGTCAGGCGCTGAAGCTACAGCCGCCCCGCTCGGAAAAGAGCGCGGAATTCAAACTGCTGTCGTTTGAATTTGAAACCAAAGCGAAGCCCGGCGCTGTGTCCGCAGCCGCCCACGCGCCCTGAGAGCGCGAAATTTGAATCTCTGTCAGTGCATCCGCCAACGTTTTCCGGGAGCGCGAGATTCAAAAAAAGATTGCTGATAGTCACAGCGTTACAGCTAGAGCCTCTAACGCTCACTAACAAAGAGCTGAAATCATTGCGCCAGGTGAACCGCTGCAGCCACAGCCGCCTGCGCTCATGTGAGCACATATTGGGCCTCGTATACCCAGAGAGAGAGAGCAGTCTACCCTTGTCTGAGGCACCAAAATGAACGCTAACCCAGCATTTCTGCCTTTTAAACCGGATGAAGAGAAGTGGGACTCTTGCAGAAGCCGGTTCAATCACTATATAGATGCCATCGGTCTGGCTGACGCAGCGGAACACCGAATTAAGTCATATTTCCTCAGCTACTGCGGAGCAGCAGTTTTCGATACTGCAATAGCCCTCCTTGTTCCACGAGAAATCAAGACCGTTCCATGGCCAGAGCTGCTGGAAACGCTCTCAAATCATTACTCCCCAAAACCTTCGCAGATCGCGAGGCGTTTTGCCTTCCGGATGAGGAAGCAAGCAGATGGGGAATCCATAAATCAATACTTGGCCGCCCTGAGGACAGCAGCTCTCCACTGCGAGTTCAAAAATTACCTGGACGACATGTTACTCGATCAACTCGTATGTGGGGTCAAAGACTTAAAACTACAGAGGTGTTTACTAGCCAGAAAAGATCTCAACCTCTCCCAAGTGGTTGAAGAAGCCTTAGCAATGGAACTAGCAACCCAGTCAGCTGCTGAAATCCAAGGGACTACTCCCAAACCCAGCTCTGCCACTGTTCACTCCGAAGAAGCGATGAGTGAAGAAGACCCCATTGAACAATCAGAAGTTCATCGTCTCAAACCCTTGAGGAAATCACAGGTAGGGACAAAGCACGGGAACAGCATCGCACCAAGACACATCCTGTTATGCCTGTCCTGCGGGGGTCCCCATGCCCGGACGGCGTGCAGATTCAGAAACGCTACCTGCAACAACTGCAACAAAAAAGGTCACATCGCCAGAGCCTGCCAGGTGGCACACGTGGCATCACAAAGGTCTGCGTCCTCTTACTCTCCCCCGGAGCCACCAAGGCAAGTAGAAAACTGTTATACTTGCTATCAAGCTAATCACACTTTCTTGACACCTAATAAAATCACAATTTCTATTCATTTAGAAGGTAAACCTTGTCTCATGGAGGTCGATACCGGGTCAGCGCTCTCGATCATCTCGTGGAACACTCTTAAGAAAATCCGACCCAGCTTATCTAGCAACCAGCTCCAGAAGAGTCGCCTCACCTTGAGGGACTATCAGGGGAAGAACATTCCGGTACTCGGCAAAGGCAAGTTCCTCGTTAAATTCAAATCCTTTAAAGGCCATCTGCCTTTAGTGGTTGTTGACGGTGCCCTCCCTAGTCTATTGGGGTTGGATTGGTTCCCCTATCTCGGTCTTAGCTTAACGGGAGTCCATGCTGTCTCAACTTCAGACATCGACTCCCTATTTGCAGACTACGCTGATGTGTTCAGCAACGAATTAGGGTGTTACAATGGCACACCCATTTCTTTTGCAGTGGATCCCCAAGCAGTTCCCGTCCGTTTAAAACCGCGTAGAGTACCATTTGCGCTACGCCCTAAACTGGACGCGGAACTGGACAAATTACTAAAACGGGGTGATTGAGCCCACGGATTTTGCTAAATGGGAAACCCCAATTGTCACACCCCTTAAGAAGGATGGCAGTTTAAGAATTTGTTCTGATTATAAGACCACAATTAACCGCTACCTACAGGTTAGCGCTTACCCAGTCCCGGTAATCCAGCACTTACTCCACACATTTGAGCCTGGCACCATTTTCGCCAAACTGGATATGTCTCAGGCCTATCAGCAGTTTCCTGTTGACAGTCAAACGGCCGATTTACAAACTATTGTCACTCACAGAGGGGCATTCAGGTGCAGGCGTCTCCAGTTTGGCGTTAGTGTTGCCCCTGGCATTTTTCAATCATTAATGGAACGTATACTCCAAGGCCTCCCTGGCGTGGTTCCTTACTTTGATGACATATTGGTCTCAGCCAGGGACAGGCCCCAACTTTTCCAAAGAGTCAGAGCGGTTTTAAACAAGTTCAGACAGCATGGCCTCAAACTAAAAAGGGAGAAGTGTGCCATCGCCACTAAACAGGTGGACTTTCTTGGGTATAGAATAGACGCCTCTGGCATCCACCCGGTAGAATCCAAAGTCAAAGCAATTCACGAGGCGCCCACACCTTCCACAAAGGCTGAATTACAGGCTTTCCTAGGCTTATTAAATTTCTACGCTTCATTCCTACCCCACAAAGTGTCAGTAGCCGA